TTTATGTGGAAAATTGATGAAATTAAATTTTTTGGCCTAAAAATTAATTTTTGTTGATTTCGGTCAACGTTTTGGGTAAACGGACCCGGACTGGTGTTTTGACGGTCCCGGTGGATCCATAGTAAAATATGGGACTTGAGCGTATGCCCGGAATCGAATTTCGAGGTCCCTAGCCCGAGAAATAAATTTTTGATGAAACTTGTAAGACTGAAATTATTATGGTTTTAAGAATTTGGTTATTATTTGATCTTATTAGTATCGGGTCTGTATTTTGGTTCCGGAGCCCGTTACAGGTCTGTTATGATATTTTTACCTTCTCTGTGAAATTTGGTGAGAAACAGAACTGATTTGACGTGATTCGGACCTTCGGTTGAGGAAATAGATGTTTTATAACTTTCTTGATAATTTCATGGAATTTGGTGCTAAATTCGTAGTTCTAGGTGTTATTTTGGCGATTTGATCGCACGGGCAAGTTCGTATGGTGTTTTAAGACTTGTGTGCTTGTTTGGTTTGGAGCCTCGAGGGCTCGAGTGAGTTTCAGATAGGCTTTGGGATGTTTTAGACTTGGGAAATTCTTATTTCCTGCAGCTTCAGCACTTGCTGGTTTCCTTCTTCGCGTTCTGAAGCTTCTCTCGGGAACGCGGAGGGTAAGTTGGGCAGGGGTGACTTTTCCTTTACGCGAATGCGTAGACTGGGTCGCCAACGCGACCAGGCTACCGCGGATGCGAAGCATGGGACATGGGGAGGGGAAAATAACTCATCGCGAACGCGGCACTTGGCTCACGAACGCAGAGACTGGGGGGAGTATTCCTTCGCGAACGCGTAGGCCAATAGGGCCATAGCTTCGCGATCGTGACAGGCCTCTCGCAAACGCGAATAAGGCCCGTCCAGTGATTTTAAAACAGAACCAGCACGAGATTTCTTCAAAAATTTCACAACTCTTTCATTAGAACTCGACCTAGGAGCAATTTTGAAGAGGAAACTCAACACCAAATCATAGGTTTGTGTTCTTTAACTCATTTCCTTCAATTTTCATCAACACCCATTAAATTTCTAGCCCTAAATCTTGTTCTTTCATGGTAGAATTAGGGATTTTTGGAAGAATTGGGATTTTTTATAAATTGGGATTTAGACCTCATTTTGGGGTCGGATTTCGGAACTAATTACATATTTGGGCTCGGGGGTGAATGGGTGAATATGTTTTGGTCCGAACCTCGAATTTTGACCAAGCAAGACCGGGGTCGAGTTTTGACTTTTTGAGGGAAATGTTGGAAAACTTATAAGGAATTATTTTCTTTAGCGATATTTGATGCTATTAAGTTAATTATGACTAGATACGAGTGGTTCGGAGGTGGAAACTAGAGGAAAAACGGTAATTGAGCAGTGAGTGGCCTGTGGATCGAGGTAAGTGTTGTGTCTAACTTTGACTCGAGGGATTAAGGATCCCTGACTTAATTGGTATGTGAAAATCCATGTGTGTGGCGTATAGGTGAGGTGACGAGTACCTATGCGCCTCCAACTTATCTATTTCTGACTATTCCCTTCCCGTTCTTAATATATTGTTCCCTGCCTTAACTGCTACCTGTTTTATTGATATTTCCATGTTTAGTTGCTACTTGTCGGATATTATTTTTGTTGTTAAAATTATTGGATTATACGTGATTTCATGGATTCATATTATTGGTTTGAGTTGGCTATCAGTGTTTATTAGTATACTTTGGATTTGTTTCACTGAGTAACATAATTCGAGTGAAGTATCATAATTTTTTTCGTTTTCTGTTTGTTTTAGTTGAGGTTAAATACCATGAGGTGTTTGAGCTAAATTGTGAAATTTCTGTTCTTATTGTGTGATTGGTACTGATATGGTGGGATCGGGTTGCATGCCGCAACAGGAGGAATAAGGGAGATATATTGAGGAGGAATAAGGGTGAAATGTGATTATCTGATGGGATCGGGTTGCGCCCTGCAACGAGGAATAAGTGTGATATATTGAGGAGTAATAAGGGTGGATTGTTATTGTACGGTGGGATCGGGTTGCACGCCGTAACAGGAGGAATAAAGGTGGATTGGTACGGAGTAATAAGGGTGAATATTCATATTGTTACTGATTATATGGTGGGATCGGGATGCGCGCTGCATCAGTTTATTGTTTATTATCCTTCTTCTGCCGTGAATTTATTATGTAGTTTTGTATCTCACTTAAGGACTGGTTATAGCTGGGTACTGATAAGATATTTGAGTTTTGTATTTATTTTTGCTACAAGTTACTGTTTCATTCTGTCCCGTACTCCTTATTTATCTTTATTATATACTCTATGCAGATTTTATTATAATTGCCCCGCCGTAGCCTCGTCACTACCTCGTCGAGGTTAGGCTCGGCACTTACCAGTACATGAGGTCGGTTGTACTGATACTGCACTCTGCACTTCCTGTGCAGATTTCGAAGCAAGCAGTGGCTGATTGAGAGATTGGCTGCAGGTTCACAGTTTGGAGACCGAAGGTAGTTATGTTGGCGTCCGCAGGCCCTGGCGTTCCCTTCTACATTTCTGTTTTTACTTCGTTTCAAACAGATGTAATTTCTTTCAGACCAATATTTGTAGTAATTCATAGTATGTTCGTGGATTGTAACACCAGATTCTGGGTAGTAACAATTATGGTGTTGTTAATAGTATATAGATAACATGTTATTTATGCACTTTCGCATTTATTTCAACCTAATTTAGTTTTTGTTAATTTTAATCTATGAAATGTAAAGGAAAAATGTGAATAGAACTCTAACGTTGGCTTGCCTGACGAGTGCGATGTTAGACGTCATCACGATCCTGATAGTGAGAATTCCGGGTCGTGACATATACACACGTCATACACTCATTCTACCACCAAACCACTACTGAAAACCACCATGACCATTACCCAAAACAACCATAATTAACCACCACTGATTCCATTGTAAGAAATGCATAAACCACTTTCATATAAAGAGAACGTGAAAGAAGAAGAAGATGAAGCCGAAGAAATATTAGTCAATTCCTTTAAAGTTGAAAGACTCGATTCTTTTTAGATTCCTTATCAGTTATCACCATTGTTAACAACCGAATTTGGCTCATTCTCATATCTAGGAATCAAAATGCGATCTCGTCTAATTAACCAATTGATTTCATCTCGTCTGAAACACAATTTGAGTCTGTACACAAACAATATGGGGTACTGCAAGATATCTCCGAACCTAGATTTGATATTGAGACTTAGAGTAGCTGACAGAGAAGAATGAGTTTGGCATTAAAAAAAATAGTTGTGTTGTCTCCTGATATATAATTGGGTATTTGGTGGCAAATTTTTAAGCAAATCGGCGATGATGGTGGAATTGTAAGATAAAAAAGGCAGTCCGGTGCACTAAGCTCTCGTTATGCGTGAGTCCGGGGAAGGGCTGGACCATAAAAGTCTATTGTGCGCAATCTTAATTTGTATTTCTGCAAGAGACTGTTTCCAAGGCACGAACCCGCAACTTTACTAATGGTTAGGAATTATTGGCTCTTGTGACTCATCTGGGAAAGATTGGGAGGGACAATTACTAAAATTGGAGCAAAAAATTAAGGGATACTTATTGCTTTAAGTTGTTATGTTCCTAAAAGTCTTATAATAGGGTAATTAGGGCCCCTAAAGTGTCTAGTTGAATTGTAAACGGGTTAAAATCTTGTATAAAAAAGACATAGCACTAAAAATAAATTTGTAAAATGCTACAAAACCAATTAAACCACTGGTGGAAAATTCCCATTTTGGCATGTTGTGATAACGTACCCACATAATTAGCAGAAAATAGCCATAGTTATAGATATTGATATCAAATAGCTAATAAATATATATCACAACAATAATGTGTATATCACAACTTTTTCTTCTTCCTTGTGTATATCAACATGTTTATTAAAATTTGATGTTCCTTCATTGTATATCTAAAATATGAAATCATATATATAGTTATTTAACATTTATTGTTGTCGTTTTATTAATATATATCACAATAAAAATAATTATATTATTTGTATATCGCGGTGTATAATATATCGAATGTATATAAAAAATTTATCTTCTTTCTTTGCATATCAAAATTTTATTTAATCCTATAATTATATTTATTTATTTTATATTTTAAAACTTGCTCTAAACCTATTATATCAAAAAATTATATTCCTTCTCTGATCAATAAAAAAATTAAAGTATCAGAATGAATTTCACTCTCTTAAAATTAGTTAGGATGGTTTGATTCCGATTTAACCTTTTATTGCCAAATATTGTATATCACGATATACAACATGCTATACACACGAGTACACATGATGATATACATAGATACACACTACCTCAAACACACATATTTTCTTTTTAACAATTAATAAGAAGAATAAGAAAATTGGAGTCTTTCAAAGAGATACAAATCAAATTGAACAAAGCAATAATCAGATGAAGACAAGAAGAAAATTAGATAAAAAATAATTCTTTTGCAGAATTGTCATCGTGCTGAGAAGATCTAAACTTAATAGAAAAATGTATTCAACCATTGCAACTTCCCAAACATTATTAAAGAACACATGCCCTTCTAAATCCAGATTGAAAAAGAAAATTTTCTAGATTCAAGAAGAAGAAGAAAAAGAGAAAAGATTGAAGAAGAAAATTGGAGAAAAAAATACGGGGAGAGAAGAAAAAATATGGGGAGTGGGAATAAATAAGAAACTAGAATTATTTAGGATTTAGCTATATAATGGAAATTTTTTGGGGTTACTTTGCCAAATTTAATATAAGGCTAAAATATTGCCAAGTCTATTTATGTGTTGTCATACCATTGACAAACCTAGCCCAGTTAACAATGAGTTTAATGGACCAAACCCAAGTTCAGTCCACAAGACCACAACTAATGGATGGACCAGTTTCCTGTATTGAATTGTAATTTTTGATCAAGGACAACAGGCCCAACCCATGAGGCTAATCCTTATCGTCAATAAACTCTCCACTAAAAACCCTAGTCTTTCCATAGCAAAGCCCCAGAGGGAGACAATAGCTGAAGGAGGAGTGAGGGCAGACAGCGCCGTACCAGAACTGATTCAATGGGTAAAGCTCTCTGAAATGCTCTCAGTCTAATTAATTCATGTCGAAAATGCATTTAAATGCCAAAACTCTTAGGTTCTTTGATATTGTTTTTGTGCTGTTCTAATGAGGTTTGTTCTCTTTTATGAGAAAATGAGGCTCTTTTTTTTCCTTGTGTTTATTTGATTATGGTGTGGTTTTTTTACACATAATATACATATTTAGCTTTACTTATACAACAACTATGTCTCAGTATCAAACAAGTTGGGGTTTGCTATATGAACCCTCACTGATCATCTATCTCCATTTTAGCAATAAAAAAATATATCTTGATTGTTTTAACACTTTTTTTAGAACTCGGTAAATATTAAGCCTGCCTATTTACCTATTTTTTATGGTGGTTAGTGGCTCAATGACCTTGAATGCTTGTGTTGATGAGGAAATGAGGTTTCTATATTTTGAAGAATATGCTGCTGTTCTTTCACAGATATATTGAAATATATTTTGTAGATGCTGAAACTGAAGTGCTTATGTTTTGGTTTTGGGTGGAAATGTAGGTGCTTACACTTATGTGTCTGAGCTATGGAGGAAGAAGCAGTCTGATGTGATGAGGTTCTTGCAGAGGGTGAGGTGCTGGGAGTACCGTCAGCTTCCCTCCATTGTCCGTGTTACTAGGCCTACTCGTCCTGACAAAGCACGTCGCTTGGGCTACAAAGCTAAGCAGGTAACTGTTTGTTGTGTTCTTAATTACTGAACTTTTATCTATGCCAATTGTCACAGGATTGGTTCTTGTTTGAAAGTGGTAACTAGATAGAGATTATATTAGTGTGTACGATCTGTATGAAGCTTTTTAGGTTAGTGCTTCAGCGACAGGAGCTTTGATGATTGAATCAATAAGATTAACCACTACTCTTTTTAAACGATGTTCTTAAATTTTGATAGTTTCTCAATTTGTGCATGCTGTCCATAAGCAGGGGACGTTCTTGTTCCAAATTTATTTCTACAAACCCAAAAGGAGAGATTAATTACTATTCACTTGTCAAAATATAAATAAAGAGATTGTAGACTAGGTATATCGCGTTAACTGTTGTATCTCTTGTTGTTGCTCTACTTGGGTGGAAATCCAGGAAATAGCAATGCTTGTTTGTGTAGGTTTCTTTGTCGAAGGCCGTAGTATTCCCTTATTCCTTCATCATTAAATGCAGTTTCTGCTACGAGAAATTTTCGGATAAATAAATAATCTAAAGACAAGTCACTTGTGTCACCAAAAACGAAGGGGACAACTCAAGACTAATTGTATAGCTTTGACTGCTATATCTGCTTGTTGTTTAGGTTGTGGAGAAATCCAGGAGTCCCATATTAGGTTATTTTTTCATCATTTGTATGTAGTTTCCGTGTCGGGGAATGAAAACAAGTTCTAACAAGTTATCTTTCTAACAAGGGCTGCAAGTGGTCAGTTATTGTTCCCCAAATAACAGCATTATAGAGAAGTTTTATGTTTTCTTGCTTCATTTCTGTTTGGTTCAAACTGCTGACTTGTGTACCTTTATATGATAGGGCTATGTGGTCTACCGTGTTCGTGTCAAGCGTGGTGGAAGAAAGAGGCCTGTTCCCAAAGGTATTGTGTATGGTAAGCCCACCAACCAAGGTGTTACCCAATTGAAGTTCCAGCGCAGCAAGCGCTCTGTTGCTGAGGAACGTGCTGGTAGGAAGTTGGGCGGCCTTAAGGTTCTCAATTCCTACTGGATTAATGAGGTCAGTTGGTTGATACTCCTTTCTTGAAATTAATGCATCCTTGTTTTGCTTCAGACAAGTAACTATGTATTCTGGATCACCAATAGTTGCTAATGTTAAGTGGTACATCCCTAGACTGCAGTTGCTGAATCGTCTTATGAAATGGATATCATTTGTTTGCTTGAATTGGTTTGACTACATTGATATATTATATGTTAGGTCGAATCGGTGGGATTACTTTGATATTGATATGCTGTGCTCTCCTTTGAATCGTTTCTTTTCTCCACATTTGGTTTAATAATAGTTGTAAAATCTGAATTGCTATGTTGTTGAATGTAGGATTCCACCTACAAGTACTTTGAGGTGATCCTGGTTGACCAAGCCCATGCTGCCATCCGTAATGATCCAAGGATTAACTGGATCTGCAACCCAGTGCATAAGCACAGAGAACTTCGTGGTCTCACTTCAGCTGGTAAGAAATACAGGGGTCTCCGAGGAAAAGGTCACTTGCACCACAAAGCACGTCCTTCAAGAAGAGCAACCTGGAAGAGGAACCAAACTCTCTCTCTTCGCCGTTACCGTTAATCTGCTTGGTAGTTTTGAGTCATTGTTGTTGCCCAGTTTTGCCTTTTCTGTTATAGCTCTATTTATCATCTTTGGACAATTCCTGCTATTTACTTGGTTGTGTTGAGCATCCTTTGTACTGTGGATAATCTGAACATGATTACTATTCTATCAAGGAACTGTTTTGGTATATGTAGTTGTTGATAGAGGTGTCAAAAGTTCACCTTTTCTTTTCATATGATAACTGACTTCTGCGCCAGAAGAAGAATATTCTGTCCTTGCGCATCTGTTCACTATCATATTTAACTTATGGGAACTTGCACTATCATTTGTTTGATTCAAGTACAAGGACTTGCTGATTTTTCCGTAAGGTTGATTGGTTTCTAGGTTCTATTCTAACCAATCCACCTTCTTTAAGGAAAATAGCTAAGTTTCCCCTTAGAAGTGTTTGGCTTTAGCTATTAATTGGCGAGGAAGTTGATTTTCCTAGTCCATTCCTTCATCCAGTTATGCCTTTTTTCTTAAAAGGAATGACTGAGAAACTAGTCCTTAGCTTTCACTTTTACCACACATTCTGAATTGTATTTCAGTTTAGCTTTATACAACAATAACCTAGTAGGATCCCACTATTGGGATCTGAGGAGAGTAGAATGTATGCGTATCTTACCCCTACCTCGGAGGGATAGAGAGGTTTCTGGGAGATCCTCGGCTTAGAGACAATATATCCGTAACAATAGATTTAATTGAGCTTTATGTTCATAAAAACTAACACAGTCCACATTTAATTGAGTTTGAATCGAAGAGTGTAGTTCAGCAGCTCACTGCGCTCATAGTGTAAGTAACTTAGCTCAAAATAATTGCTGTTGAATCAGAGTGGTGAAGCTAACTGTCATTGCTTGAGCTTAACTGTATATTGCATACTGCTGAAGAATCCTCAGATTCCCCAAAGTCATGCGTATAGGCTCTTGAATATATCTTTTTGTCTTTCCAATAGAAAAGCTAGAGCTCCTATAATATTCTCAAGTTATCAAACTTTGAGTCCTCTGAATAACAGTATTTAGGGGTGTACTACCCCGATCTAATCGTACCGCATCGAACCGATTTTTCGATTTCTTTTAAAAAAATCGTAGGTTTTTATATAAATCTATAACCACACCGATAATTAGGGTGATTTTTTATTTTATAAAAATAAACCGAAAAATATCGAATAAATTTTACATGTGAAAAATATATTCATATAGTAAGTTTAAAATAATAATGCATTAAATTTTTCTTTAAGCCTTGGAATTATGAAAACTGTTACAAGCCAACAAATAATTAAACTCAAAATACTAATTCCTAAAACCTACGGAGTATTATGCTACTTCTACTTAAATAAGTTATTTCAAGTATCTTATCAATGCACAAAATATTCTAGCGGTTATGAGTAGCAAACTACAATATATTGAATATGTTTCTTTTTATATAATTTAGATTTATCTTTTTGATTATTTAATCTTTTATAGACTTTAACCTTGAGTCCTAGCTTGGTTAATATCATTCCACTCGTGTGATTTATATTTTCTTTGCCTTTTCCTTAGTTTCTTTTACGTTGTTGTAGAATAGTTGATGGATCTATACTCTAGCCACCTTTTATTTTTTTAATTCATCACCCTTTAATCAGTAAAAATATCTAGAGAGTTTTGTTACGTCATATAAAAGAACATATATTATTGCATTCTACTTCTACTGGTGAATTTTTCATGATATTTAAAAAAATACCGAAAATTAACCGAACCGTATCGATACCGAAGAGAAACCGACATGATTGAGACGGTTTCAAAAAGTCTAATTTTGGTTATACATAATAGAATAACCGAAAAATTGGTATGATTCTAATTTTATAAAATAACCGACCGAACGGAACCATTGACACCCCTAACAGTATTGGTTCATTGGGTATCCAAATCATAGAAACAACATTCACTGATATTGACATAGTTAACTTTGTAACATTCCTAATTCCAGAGAAATGAACATTTGTGAGAAGTACTTCTTGCAACATGTTTTCCTCCTGTTGCAGCAATTCTGATCGATAGTAAAGATATTGTAAGAGCAAAAGTGATTCTGACATTTTGTTTATACAAAAAGTGGCCATGTTTGCAATCTTTTTTCTTCTAAAGAGGTTAAATACTAAATACTGGCCCAATTAATGGCGATCCAGTGCAAGTTTTTGTTAGGGGTTTTGACACATTTACCCACAAAAACAAAATTATTTACCCTTGTCTATCCATTTATTTTTCTACCCATAAACTAATTATATTTCCTATCCATAGTAGTTTTTGTGGGGAATTTTTTCTTTATTCTCCAATTCTTTTTTATTTCTATGCTTCTTTTCTTTTCTTTTCTCCTTTTCTTTTTTCACATTTTCTTCCTATTTTTTTTATTTTTTTTCTCTTTTATTCATTTATTTTTGCCCAAATCGTGTTATTGTTATGTTTACCATAACTTATTTCACATTCAAATTTGACTCCTTATTTATTTTTTTATTTTTTATTTTTTTCTTTATTTCTTGTTCCTTTCTTAATTCCACATGATTGCCATGCAAACCTTGATCTCCTTCCCTACAAATATTAGTACATACTCTACCATTAGCAGTAATACCAACCAGTGATGGAGCAAGACAATATAATCTACGGCCACTAAATCTCCATATATACTAGTTAGAATAGAAATGATAATAAAATATTGGAAAATGCAATAAAAATATAGGTAGCAAAAAAGACTTCTAGTACCACATGATACCAATATGGTATACATGTATACCAACAGAGTATATGATTGCTCTAGAATATTGCTACAACTATCTAACTATACTACTATACCAAAACATTAAAGGATACAATAAAAGTATGAGAAAATTACATGCTCGCATTGCAAGCTAAATATTCGCAAAGCAACTTGCTCATTCCATATACTAACAGGGTATATAGTTGTATGGGTCGTTCCAACAATTGCCTATAATTATAAAAATTATTACATAATACACATAATCTATATCCATAAGCACAAAAATTTTCCAGCATTGCAAATCACGTTCATATAAATAATTTCAGAATAGAATTCACTTAAAAATGCAGCCAAAACAACCAAATAAATGTTCAAACTACCATATGATACCAATATGGCATATAACTATACCAATATGGTATACAATTTTACTGGGTTGATTCCCGGCAACTATATGACTATACTACTATTACATAACACACATGCATAAAGAGAAAAATAAAAAAAATAGTGTACCACATATTAATGTAATAAAGTATTTCAAGATATTGAACTATATTACTATTATTAAAAGAAAATCAAATATTGTACTAATAAATGCAGCTAATACAATAAAAAAATGATTCAACTAGCATATGATACCAATATAGTATATAGCTATACTAATAGGGTATATAGTTGGAATGAATTATATACCAAAATGGTATATTTGGATACTATTTGATATACAATACAAATTCGTCTTCTTCTCTTGTTCAGCTATATTTCAACCCAAACTTCTAAAATCTACTACAAAATCTCCACCAAATTGACTAAAACTTTAGCTACAACCTCCAGTCAACTTTCCAAACAAACCCATATAGGATCGGATCTAAATAATTAAAAATTCAAACAAACCAAGTTATGAGTTTCAAGCTTCAAGGTCCTTCAATGGTGGATTTGAATTTTTGTGCAATAAATCTCCAAAAACGAGTTTGGGTGAAGAGAAAGAAGAAGGTATTAGTGAGAAATAAGTGTGAATTACCATTGATGATGAACCCCAGAATACTACAACAAGAGAAATTATTTTAGAATTAAACCGCATAATAGAAATGGAAACGAATTCAAGTGTTAACTCTAGAAAACTAATGGGTTTAGAGAAGAAGAAGAAAATAGAGGAAGAATGGAACTCCATTTACAGCTCTAAGCACCAACCCTCTCGTGCTGACTTCCTTCCCCAATTCATATTCGGTGTTGTTCTGCTTACCAGGTTTCTTCCACTTCTATTTCATTTTAATCGGGTAAATAGTTTGGGCCCCATGGGTAGGAGTAGTAAATAGTTTGGGTCTGGACATTAAAGGATAAATAGTTTAGAATTAATGGGTATAAAGTAAGATTTTCTCTTTTTTTTACATATAGCGTCGGGTCAGATACGAGCTTTCGAACAGATGAAGTTTACAATAGCCATTTTTAGCTATTGTAACTGAAAAATTGTCACCGTCAACATTTCAAATTCCGCTAGTAAAATTTCAGGATATTGTCATGGAGTTTCACATGTAAAAATTGAAATTCTATGACAATAACTATTTTTCAGTGTATATGCTGAAAATCCCTAAGCCGTGCTATTGTTACTAGGGGTGTTCATGGTTCGGTTTGGGTCGGTTTTTCCCTAAAATGAAACCAAACCAAGTAAGTCGGCTTTTCAAATATTGGAACCAAACCAAACCAATTAAGCCGGTTTTTTATCGATTCGGTTTTTGTCGGTTTTTTCGGTTATTTATCTGTTTTTTCTTAAATATGAGATATACACTACCAAATACATATTCCGACGACTATATTTTCAACGTACACTATCAGATCAATTGCTCTTTGAGAATTCTATCATTTNATAATTTAAGTACTCAATTAAAAATTTATTATTTTTATCATGAAATAAATTCTTGTACTTAGCAAAAGGAAACTACCAATCAAACAAGAATGTGAAGGCAAAGAATTAGATTATTATAATAGCAAAGAGCTAGTCTAAAAAACAAACGACTAATATATACGATAAAAATTTAGAAACTTTATATAAAAAAAATAAAAAAATAAAATATATATATATATATATATAGGTGTAATAATAAATTTAAATAACTACTTTTATAGTCGGTTTGGTTCGATTTTTTTCGGTTATTTTTTATTAAAACTAAAACCAAACCAAATTTGATTGGTTTTTAAAATTCAAAACCAAAACCAAACCAAACCTAAAAAGTATCGGTTTTTTTGGTCGGTTTGGTTTGGTTCGGTTTTTCGGGTTTTTATGAACACCCCTAATTACTACCCCTTCGAATCGACGCAGTGGACAATGTGTACATGGATCAGGCTGGTTTGGTTTTGAAACCAAATCAACTATTTCGGTTTGAATTTGTGATGACCCAAAAGGTCATCTCTTGTTTTTGAAG